TTGAGAAGCTGGTGGATAGTGGTGTGGTGTACATGGCTGATAACCGTGCATGCCAGATCCTTGGGATAGGAAGAATTCGCATCAAAATGTTTGACGGGACTGTTAGGGAGTTAAATGATGTGAGATATGTTCCTTCTTTGAGGAAGAACTTGATCTCGATTGGAGCTTTGGTTGGAGAGGGTCTGAAGGTTCGTGTTGAGGACATGGTTCTCGAGATTGCGAGAGACTCTCGTATTTTGATGAAGGGCGTCAGGAGGAATAACCTGTATTACTTGACTGGAGGTATAGTGGCAGGTAGAGAACTGACGACTTCTATTGATTCGTCTAGACTGCGGCATTTGGGGCTTGGCCATTCCAGTATTGATTCCTCGCATAGATTGAAAGAGGGTGTAAAGACCTGCAATTTGAAGTCCAGTGAACATGTTGATGTGAGCAAGAAGACCAAGGTGAAGTGTGGCACCTCTATTCACCGAGTTAAGGGTCGTTCTGGAGGAGTTCACGTGGATGTTTGGGGGCCTTCCAAGGGGGCATCATTGGGAGGTAATAGGCGTTTGGTTTCCTTTGTTGGTGACTGTTCTAGGCGTGTTTGGGTTGCAACCAAATCCCCGATGGAGAAAGTCCTAGTAGTATCCAACAGATTGAAGAAGTGTGTAATAGACAGAAAGGTGAAGGTACCCCATTCTGGTGGGAGGTACAAGATGGACCTGTTTCTGTATTGGAGCCGAGCTCACGGCATTGCGAGACACTCCGTTGGAAAGGAAATCTTGGGGCAACTAGATAGGTTGGAAAATTTGGAGAACCGGGCCTTGCTGGAGGAGGATCTTTGTTTGTGGTCGAGCAATGGTTTGCAGAAGAGTTACTGGACAGAGGCTTCGACATATTTGGGTCATCCTATTAAAGAGTTGTCAACTGCTGTGATTGGAGGTAAAACTCTATTGGAAGATAGGTCTGATAGTGTCACTTTGGATGATGCTTCGATAAGGAAGCCAATTGACTCTCAGCAGGTGCAGAGTTTTGGACAGACCTTAGAGGTATCGCAGCGGGTGGAGAGTGATGCTACTCCACATTGGGTGAAGATTACTCCAGATCATTCTGCATTGGTTAAGATTCCAGCTGAGGTGACACAGCATGGGAGTCATATGAATTCGGATGCGGATGATGAGTTGGGTTTTGATGCGAATGCAGCTGACAAACATAGTTTGGATACGGTCATTGGTTCGCCTCAGGTGGAGGTGTTTGAGACCATTGGAGGTGCTATCAGCTGCAGAGTTGATGATATTGGAGAAGGGTTGCGAACTCTTCTATTGGATTGAGGTCATTTGCGGCCATTTGGGTGAACTACGTTCGGGTTTGAGGCCATTGGAGGTGCTATCAGCCGCAGAGTTGATGATATTGGAGAAGGGTTGCGAACTCTTCTAGTGAATTGAGGTCTTTGGAGGCCATTTGGGTGAACTACGTTCGGCTTGATTCCTTGGGCAAGAGGATACGTAGGCAGTCTTTATGATGCAGCCGGTTTTGGATTTTGATGGGGGTAAGATCGATTTGGTGAGCGACATCGACATTTGGGGTGAGTGTTCGCACTCTCATTTGGGTCTCAGCAAGTGAGACATTTGTTTTGGTCGGTGTCGGCTCAGTTTTGGGAAAACTTCGCCGAGGTGGAGAATTGTGATTGAATGACGCGTGAGTGGGGAGGACAGTGTCTCATGATGTTTTTTTAGGATGTGAACGTGGGTCCCTCCACGTTGTGAAGGAGCTCAACAATTAACGCGTGAGAAGATTTGGAGAATTGGAAAGCGTGAAGAGATTTGAGAAAATCTCGTGAGCAGTAGCAAAAACAAAGTTGGCCCACCCGACTTCGGAACGTGTGACTGATTGAAGTTTATATAAATACCAAGGAGATTTCTCCCTAGGGCGTGCGAAGGCAGGGGAAAAATCAATAGCTTTTTGGCGGCTGCAGAGGGCAGGTGCGCAGTGCAGGAGAAAGAAGAAAAGTGAGGCTACGGGAGAAAAAGTCAGCGGCTTTTCTTTGGCTTCGTGCAAATAGGCTTTTGTGTTTTTGAGAGTTTTGTGAGAGATTAGAGAGTTAGTTTGAGGGTTTATTTTGTGAGATTGTAAACCTATTGTATTTTCTCTCTAATAGTAGATCCTCCTCCTTGCCCCGTGGACGTAGGCAGTTTGCCGAACCAGTAAAATTGGTTTGTTTGAGTTTGTGGCCATTGTAATAGTTTTTAGGATCCCTCGACGCGCAGTCCTAGTGCTGACGAGAGGAAAAACAAATATCCCACTTTGATGGGATATTAGGCTTTCAGATTCTTGTTCCCTTTGAGAAACAAGAATTCTTATCGATCTTTCTCTCTTATTGTGCACCAGAAACTCTGCCAAAATTTCCGCTGCGCACAACAGAGAGGTCAATGTAGATGAGGAGATAAGAGAAGATGAACAGAGAGCATTCGATGAAGACGAAGATGAAGAGATAAGGGAAGATGAACAAAGAGAGGTACAACAGCCCAAAAATCATAGAGGTCCCACTAAGTGTTTAAAAGTACATGGACGAGGCATAGAGGCACGTCCAGTTGTAATTTTAGATAAATTTGGGGTACCTATTAGACCGACAGACAATATCTTAAATAAACTTAGTAGTTTTCTGGGTACCCTTGGAAGAAATCCAAGACGAACACCACTAGATAAGAATTAGCACGACATTGGGGAAGAAGACAAAGATAGTTTGTGGGAATATGTGAAGGTATGATATAGCACAAAAAAAAATCATTTTGTGTAGTGACAAGGTAGATTTTAACTTGTATATTGTTATGTCATTGTAGGAGAAGTATTCAATTGCCGATTCAGGATGAAAACGGACCTTGCAAACAATTAATAGTGCATGGATGTGGTGGAAGTGCTTGCTGAAACGTTAATGTTTTACTACTTTGAACAATGATGGAGAAAGATGGAAAAAAACGCCCCAAGACTGTTCCCAAGGGTCAATTTAGAGGTTTACTAAAGATTTGGCATTCTCAAAATGCAAGGATAAGAATTTAATTTTCTATTAATATCATTGTTCTGTTTCTTTTGAACATACCAGTGTGATTTTCTATTAATTACCGAATTTTCATAAAACTGAATAACATTTTACCTTCTGATACATGATTATTGTATTAATTCAACGAAGAATTCTGAAATTTGTGCCAGGTTGAACTGCCTGTATATTCACCATGTGTACTATGACCCAAGTTATTTCGAAACAAGAAAACTTCACCTTGCCAGAAGGCAAAGTCTCAAAAAAGGTCAATCTTTTCTATGCAAGGTAGCATTATGTGCCATAAAAAGAGAAATTAGCAGACACTAAATTTACAATAAAGGGGGCTAGAAAGAAGTTCAAAAACTGCTTACATGCCAGCAGTCAATTTCAGTGACATGATTAAAATTATTTGACACCTAGTATTGCCATTGCGAAACAGTTAACATATTACAATAGTAGACAATAAACTTGCACAAAATCCCTTAGAAGAAAGTAACAGAATTCACAGCTGCAAGTCCAAAGATAATACCTCGAAGGTCGTACCAAACATATTATCAGGTATCTTCCTGCTAGCTCTCGGCGAAGCATCGACATGAACAATCCCTGTCTGGTTCGCTTTAAATTCAACAGCGCGAACTCGACACACAACAGAAACCAAGAAAAGGGCATGAACCAATACTATCAAAAGCCCCATTTGCAGACCCATTACCCTCAGAATGTTTTACGCATATATACACACACTGAAACCTGAAAGTTGAGATAAACAAAAGACAAGGGAACCAACAGTTAAAGTAGAAGCAAGTTGAAAATATAATGTGCAAGGCAATCCATTACAACCAACTGGATCAGTGGAGTTAGACCTGTCCATTCGGGCCCGGCCCAGAAATCCGGGCCCGGGCCAGGCAAAACCGGAGCCCGGACCCGGGTACCCCGGGCCGGGCCTGGGCCCGAACCCAGGCCGGCCCGGTTTTTTTAATTTTTTTCTTTTCTTTTTTATAAAAAAATGCTAAAAATTAGTTTAAAATTATTATATTTTATATAATTATGTATTAGTATATACTTACAAATTATTATGTAACTATATATTATTTATACATATATTATATGTAAATATATTGTATATATTTATAAGTTATAACTTGAGAGAGAGAGAATCGTATAAGTAGTCATTGCCCGTTGGGCCAATGGGGAAGAAGTAGTCGTTGTAATATACTATACTTATATATACTTATATACTAAGAGAGAGAGTATACACACACACACATATTATACATATATAAGAGAGAGTATACATATATAAGAGAGAGTATATTTATATATACATATATACTAAGAGAGAGAATATATATATACACGCACACATATATTATACATATATAAGAGAGTGTATACTTATATATACTTATATAAGAGAGAGTATACATATATAAGAGAGAGTATACTTATATATACATATATACTATAAGAGAGAGTATATACATACATACATACATACATTATACATATATAAGAGAGAGTATTTTTATATATACTTATATAAGAGAAAATATACTTATATAAGAGAGAGTATACTTATATATACTTATATACTAAGAGAGAGTTATATATACACACATATTATACATATATAGAAATATATTATATATACATATATAAAAATATATTATATATACATATATTATACATATTCCTGGCTGGGCCAGGCGTGGGCCGAGCACCAAAGAGGCGCCCGGAGCCCGGACTTGGCCCGGGTTTCTGGGTTGGGCCTGGCCGGCGGGCTTTTTGGACACCCTTAAGTGGAGTAATCCCCCAGCTTAAAGAAAAAGTAAGTCAGTTTACAGAGTTCGAGTTGGAGTGCTATAATCACGTTTATGTTATTTCATTTCTAATGTTTATGTTATGTAATTATATTACTCTGATATAGTTTCTCTTGTTGCAATTTACTTATTAGAAGTTCTATAATCATGTAGAAAGAAAGTGAAAAGAATAAGGAAAGTCGTAAGAGTCAAACGCTCTTGCACACAGCGGGTTCAAAAAGTTTTGCAAGAATTCGCAGAGATATGGTAATGATGATGTTTATCTATGATTTAGACATGCAATGAATGGCTAAATGACTGATATGTTATTTCATTGTAGGAAAAGGAATTGAACCGGCCTCCAACAGATGCAGAAGTGTTTCTAGAGACTCGTAAAAAGAAGAAAAAAGCACAACGAGAAAAAACACTTGAAATAATTAATACATTGGAACAGCTAACTCAAGAATAAACTGAAGGAGAAAGTGTAGATGCATGGCATCTAGTCAATAAAAAAGAACATCCTGGACGTGTGCGTCTTCGGGGAAGGGAGATCACTCAAACCATGCTAAAAAGCAATAAGGAGAAGACCATTGATCCGTGTGATCAAATCCCTGAGTCAATTGTTCAAGCAATAACAAAGAAGGTAGTGGCCACTCAACAAGAGGAGATGAAGAAACATCAAGAAGCTCAAGCTGCAAGTATGATTCAAACATTTGCAGAGATGTTGAGTGAAGTAACTGGACGTTCGGTTAGTCCAATCTTTGTTGAGAGGTTTAAAGCGCGTACTAGACTTCCTGAAGAGGCTGTCAGTATTCTAGATTATGATAGTGCATGCTCTTTGCAAACACACAAGAGCTAAAGGTAAGTACCCATTACATGTATGTTACAATCTGTTTTTTTTTTGGCATATGGCTTTCGATTTTTGTTTCTCTTTGTTTTTATGGCCTGGTATTGGTTTTCCCTATGTTGGAGCTTGTTTACTAGCCTTGGTTTTGCTAGAAGTGGGTGTTTTGCATTCAGAAATCACTGTAGCAAAGGAGTTTTATGAAGTTTTGCTTTCTGGTTTGTTTTCTTCTATTTCCTATTGCCTGGACTTAGGATTCCATGTGTTGGAGATTGTTTGCTGGACACTTGCCTATGTTCAAAGATTTTTTATCTCTAATTCTGAGTTTAATATTTATTATGTTATGGATCTAGTGACTTTAGATTCAAGCATCCCAACTAATAGTTTCTTTTCCTTTTTTCCTTTTATTTTATCATAGTTATCTGCAGAATGCAAGTCATGGCATGCCTTATCTGCAAAAATCATAGAGGGAGGAAGGAAAGCTTACATTCATTCCAACACCAAGGCTGGGGACTATACCGATTCGTATACTTTTTCCAGGTCAGCAGTAGTTTTCCTCAGAAGGGATCAATTGAATATATATTTAATTGTAGAAAACAACCAAAAAAAGCATCATCACTCTGAATGTAACATACTCAGATATTGAAATAAAGTATCACTATAAAGAAAAGGATGCAATCATCATTCTGAATGTAACATTCTCAGATATTGAAATAAATTAGCACTATCAAGAAAAGGATGCATCAAACATTATGTCTAAGAAAACAAAAAATAGCTTTTTTTCATAGAAAGCTCTATCTTAATAAATACATGCCTTTAGATATTTTTTTATTTTTTTAGTTCTTTGCAAATATCTGTTCTGCACACTTTGGAGCTTGTATTATACTATTTTAACTTGATTTATTTGTACATGTTACAAATATTCTCTTTTCCTACATACCTTTGATTAATTTCTCTAACATTTTCTTTAGTCTCATTTGAATGCTTAGAAATATGATTGGTTAAAATTCTTAATTTATCACGTTGACATTTTCAGCTTATAAATCATGGAGTGCCCGATGTCATGATCAAATCATTGAAGGCTGACATTGAAGAATTTTTCCAGTTGCCCTTAGAGGAAAAGAAAGCATATGCGTAGTTGCCTGATAGCATGGAAGGCTACGACCATGCATTTGTTATCTCAAAGAAGCATGACTGCTTAGTTTCATTAATAGTATGATGGCTAGATTCTGAGTTGAAATATTGGTAGTGTGGATTTAATACTTTGTAGTTTTTATACTATACTACTGAATGTTGGCACTTATCGTTATGGTTACTTATACTCAATATTTTCACTTTGATATTGTGTATTAAAATTTAACTTGGCCATGTTCTTAAAAAGATTGTCCAGGTAATTGGATACTATATGATTTTGATGTAGGGAACCAAGAACAACCAAATCGGAGCCGCTGCAATAGCTCAATCAAAAACGTTGCAATAGCTTGATGAAAACTATTGCGATTGCTCAATCCAAACCGTTGTGTTAGGTTTTTTAAAACCGTTGCCTTAGGAACAAAAAGCTGCTATTAGGAACAAAAGTTGCTATTAGGAACAAAAGCTGCTATTAGGAAAAAAAAAGAGAACCGCTGCCTTAGGTCAGGAAAATCGTCGTGCTTGCGTGCGGTTCATTAAAATGAACCAATACTTTAGCTAAGGTAACCATAGTCTTAGGTGGCAATACCACATTAGACTAAATCGTTGCATTAGGGTACCTCATGGAACGGTTATTAAACTGTTCCTCTATAGGGTAAAATCGTTGTCTATGGTCTAAAGCAACGCTCGCAAAGAAGATGGATGGGCAACCACTACACTTGCCCTAAGGTAACGGTTTTTATGCTAATGTAGCAGTTTTAACCGTTGCCTTAGCCTAAGTCTATGGTAGTGGATGGATCCAACCTACTGCTCCAGGGATGTGTGTGTGTATTATACTCTCTTTAAAAGCACGAGTTCGGGAAAATCTTTCAGTAGATAAAAATACCCTTGAAATTCAAATATTAATCCACTAATAGTAAGTTAATAAATTAATGAATTCTTATTAGATATATATAGTATGAAGATAAGGATATAATTTAAATTAAAATATAAATCTAAATAAGATTATTAAATACCAAATTTATAAATATCTACAAAATAAAGGGCGTATATATAAAAACTAAATAAATTAATGAGATAAATAATGTCTGCCCCAAAGGTCAAACCCAGGAATAGCGCAGACCTATAAATATACATAATGTGAATGTGATATTTATAAAATCCACCAAACAAATTAAAAAGATAAAAGTCATTCTCAAAATTATAAAAAAAATGAAGGAAAACAAAAATCATACTTCCTTTAAAAGCATGAATTCGAGAAAAGCTTTCCATAGTCAAATTTACTTTGTACTATTTTAAAGATTTAATTTAAATTATAATCTATCTAATCATAGTTATATCTTATCCTAATACCCCATGAACTATTTATTGCTCAATAATTTAAATAAGATTAATAAAATATATGAAATAGCTTCTTAAAAATTAGACAAAATACTTAAAAGTTAAAATTACACAAAATAAAAAGGTGAAATTTTAAAACTTGGCAAAGAAAGAGTAATTGATTGATATTATTTTATTAAGATATATAAATGTAACTAATAATTTAAGAAAATCTTTCAGTAGATAAAAGTACTATTGGAATTTAAATATTAATCCATTAAGTAAAAGTAAGTTGATAAATTGATGAATTCTTATTGGATATACATAGAATGAAGATATTAATACAATTTAAATTAAAATATAAATCTAAATAAAATTATTAAATGCCAAATTTATAAATATTTACAAAATGAAGGACGTATATGCAAAAACAAAAAATGTCTAGCCTAAAGGTCAAACCTAAGAATAGCGCAGACCTACAAATATACATAATTTGGATGTGATATTTACAAAATCTACAAAACAAATTAAAAAGACAAAAGTCATTCTCAAAATTATAAAAAAGAAAAATTAAGGAAAAAGCATCATACTCCCTTTAAAACCACGAGTTCGAGAAAAGCTTTCCATAGTCAAAATTATCCTATACTATTTTAAATATTTAATTTAAATTATAATCTATCTAATGATAGTTATATTCTATCCTAATATCCCATGAACTATCTATAGCTCAATAATTTAAATAAGATTAATAAAATATATGAAACAGCTCTGTGGTATCAGTTTATTACATGAAGTATTACAAAAAATAAAAAGTTTTAAAAATTAGACAAAATACTCTCAAAAGTTTAAAATTACACAAAATAAAAAGCTAAAATTTTAAAACTTAGCAAAGAAAAGAGTAATTGTTTGATATTCATTTATTAAGATATATAAATGTAAATTATAATTTAATGTTTACTATCCTTTTTTAGAATCTAAAAAAAGTCAAGTTGATGTTGGTAAAAATATAGCAATAATAACAGATTAAAAAATCTAGTCAAAGAATAAAAAATTTAAAAATATATAATAGATTAAGATTGATATTATTGTACAAATTAAAGTAACTACATATAATTTTATCAATATGTTAGTGCAGCAAAAATACCTAAGTATCATTAATTGATTGAATACTAAATCACAAAAACTTAATAAAAGACTATAATATAATAGCTTAACGTTAATTGATTATAATTTATAAATATTAATCTCTAATGGTAATATTAGTTATAGGGTAAAAAATTATAAAGTTTTATGTATGGAAAACTATCAAAAAATTTTAGAGATATCCTTCAAAAGAATCAAGTAGTTTTCATTTCAAATGGAATTCTGAACGTCCATGAATCACTTCAATTAACACTAATATAAGTTATATTTATCAAAGAAGCACCAACTGAATCCCCCCTGAAGAATATATTGAATAACTTTGTTCCAATTAAAGAAACATTCTTCATGGAAGATAAAAGGAAAATTACTATGCCATGACTCTGCGTAAGTAAAAAAATATAAAATCGCGCTTTTTATTTTTCTTACTTAGTATCACGACCCTACGTGTGACATTATTTAAGGGTATGACTACTAACAAAGGATCAATTCTTAACAACATGATAAAAGATAATGATATAATAGCACTATTAGATTTCAAGATCTCTAAATATGAATATAATATATTTTATTCCTAAAATTCTTATTAAATGACACAATATAAAATTCACCTTATAACAGTCTCAAATTTATAAAGAGATATGCATGTCATGTAAATTGCGTCAATAATATATATCAACCAAAAAATACAACTTTTTGAAGAAACAAGAGAATAGTAAGTAAACCAAGCAAACATCCATATAACACCATAAAAAATATTATATTTTAAAGATAATATTCAGCACTCTTTCAGAGTAAAGTGCCAAGATAAAAGCATCTCCATTAAGTCTCTTTATAAATACAATAGAAATTCAAATTACTAATATATACAACCATTATAATATTCAAAAGAGATATGATCTTAGAAAACCTACTCTAAAATTTATACAATTAAACCTAAGAATGATTTACCAATATACAGACA